ATAACATGGAGCACAATGGTTCGAGGATGTCTGTTTGTCTCTCCCCCATGCTTCCATCCGTTTCTCATTGCTTTGATATTGTACTTGACACAGTGAATATTTAGAAAATATTTTTGAACTAAAGATGCGTAGTTTCTGGGCCGGTCCGGTGGTGCACTGCTACAGTGCGCCGCTTGGAGGGCGTGGCGGTGCTCCTGCCGAGGGTTCGGATCCAACATACAGACCGGCCGCTCACTGGCTGAGCGCGGTCACAAAAAAAAAAAAGGGCCGGCCCGTGGCTCACTCGGTAGAGTGCGGTGCTGATAACACCAAGGCCACGGGTTCGGATCCCATATAGGGATGGCCGGTTCGCTCACTGGCTGAGCGTGGTGCTGACAACACCAAGTCAAGGGTTAAGATCCCCTTACCAGTCATCTTTAAAAAAAAAAAAAAAGAGTAATAAACAGGTCCTATAATCCAAAAAGTCTGAAGATGTATTGCAACACTGAAGTGAAGTGCCCATGATTATTTTAGGTTACAAACAGACAAAAATTGATTATTAAATATTAGAAAAAACAGCCAACAAAATACATTTTTTTAGACAGAGTTGCTTAGGATGAAGTTACATTCATCTTACATAAAAATGTGAATTAAAGGAAGAATATGTAAATAATAGCACAGGTGACATTTAGATATGACCAGTCTTAAAATGTGGTGCCCAAATCACTTAAATGAAAGATACTACTTTAATCCACTCTTTACACATATTCTTCAAAAAACCTCATCTTGTTATTTCTGTACTTACACACCTTTAAGAGTTCTTAAGATAAATCTGCCCCAACTACCTTCAAGGCCTTGACCATTTCTATGTTAGGCAAAAGAAACCAACACAGAGTTCATCCTATTTGATTCTAATTAAGTAAAGTATAAACAGGCAAAACTAATCCATTCTGTTAGAAGTTAGGATAGTGTTTACTCTTGCGAGTGGTAATAACTGGAAAGAGGCATGAGGAGGGTTTCTGGGATACAGGATAATGTGATTTCTTGATTTGCTTAGGCGTGTTTAGGTTTGAAAACCCATTAAAACATACATCTACAATACATGCATTTTTCTGCATTTATGTCACACTTCAATAAAGTGTAAAAGTTCTTCTTGAACTTTTAATTTTAATAGAAATGTCGAGCAGGTATTTCTCATGTCATGGAAAGACCAAACTAGGCTTTAGAGTCAGAGGATTTACTGGAGTCCCAAGACTTCCATAATCTTGGATAAATCTTTTAAAATTCTGAGCTTTTGGGGCCGGCCCGGTGGCGCACTGGATAAGTGCGCCACTTGGGAAGCGCGGCGGCGCTCCCGCCCGAGGGTTCGGATCCCACATACAGACCGGTTCCCGCTCACTGGCTGAGCGAGGCGCGGGGGCAACACCGAGGGTTGCAATCCCGTTGCCGGTCCCCGGTCCGGTACTGGGGCAACACTGAGGGTTGCGATCCGTTGCCGGATACGGAAAAAGACAAAAGACAAAAAAAAAAAAAAAAAAATTCTGAGCTTCAGTCTTTCATCTATCACATCCCAGGATTGGTATGAGAATTAAATTCACTTACTTATTCATTCAACAATAATTTCTTGTGCCTACTATTGCCTTCTAGGTGTTGGGGATGAACCAGTGAACAAAAGACAATCCCTGCCCTCATACTGCCTCTCTCCTAGTCAAAAGACACAGACAATAAACAAAAGAAATGAATAAAATACCCGTACATGGCATCTCCTATGGTGATAGGTGCTATAGAGAAGAAATATGCAGGGAAGAGGAACTGGGGCAGTTATAAGTAAGGAAGGAAGTCAAGGAAGGCCTCACTAAAACAGTGACATTTAAGCAAAGACCTGAAGAAAGTGAGGGAGGCAACACCAGGAGAGGAGTGCATTCCAGGCACAGGGATCAGAGACTATAGAGAGATAACTTACTGGAAAACATGCAAATGCTAGTTAGTGTAAGTTCTGGTTTTAAAGAAAATGATAAGATCACATTAGAGGATGTAGCCTTAAAAAACTGCCCCAAGTCCAAGCACTGACTCGGTGAGATGAATACTTTCTTTTGGAAGGGTGATTTTTGCTCCCACCATAACTGAATCAAGTTCCAAACTCTCAGAAAACTAAGGGAATTTCTGTGACTGTGCAGTCAAAAGGTAAAATTGCCAGTGTTCTTAAATAGATGTAGTTTCTTGCAGTGAATTACTTCCTTCATGGCACTAGAGGGCCACTAAATGCAAGTTCACTCAGCACTTGGTCAAGTGCACCAAAAGGCCTCAAGAATTTCTGGAATTAGTCTTGTATCTCCAGAAAAACAGATCGTTGTCTTTTTTCTTTTCTGACAGTTGTTAATGCCCAGTAGTTTTATTTACCTATACAATAAAATTTAACTTCTCTGCATCCTTCTCAATCGTGCACACATTATACACAGTAACAGGAACGAAGATCAGTCGCCCTCTTCGGAGGGCATAGAGAAACGTCCACAGCTGAACGGACACCGAGAGGCGGGAGTCTGGAGGCCCTGCCGTCCTCCTCCGTGGCTGGATGTGTCAGTCGCAGCTTGGAAGGTCAGCGATTGCCCAGCGCGGGACAAGGACATAGGCACGTGGAGTCGCACGGCGCGGCACCCACCTGGCATTCGGTCGTGTACCAGAGGCCGGCTTTTTCCCGCCGAGCTGTTGGGAACAGGAGGCGCGGTTCGCACCAAAGTCTGCAAAGGCCTCCGATCTGGACGCACTGCCTCAGAGAACGCCCTCGTTCCACCCGAAAAGAACCCGGGTCTTTTCCGCTCTGCCTCCTCCCGCCGCAGCCCTTCGACACTTCCGGCGGTGCAGCAGCCAAATACAGCCTGCCAGCAACTTCCGCCCTTCTAGCTAAATGCGGAGAACAGAAGCTCGGAACAGGTGTGTCGCGCTTGCTCTTCACTCGGCCGTGTTAGAGGGTGACCATTTTCTGTCGTGGGTTACGCGGAGTCGGCTCGTGGGTCTCTGAGACCCGAAAATTGAGAGTTTCTTTGCGCCTCGTAGGCTGCGTCTGGCAGCTTTGCGGCTGTCGCCATGGTAAGGAGGCTGCCTGGAGTGCTCGCGAAACAGGGCATCTGAGTTAGTGGGACCTGGGCACTGGGCCAGGGAGTGAGCGGTGATAGGCGGAAGTGAGGTGCTGCTAAGGGAACGTGGGTAGACTCCGTGGGGTGGGCTCCAGAGAGTGGGGGAGAAGAAAACACTTCACTTTAGGGACCCAGAGTGCGATATTTGTCACAACACAGGCTTTGGAGCGAGGCACATTTCATTCTTGGTTTCGCCACGTGTGGTGATAAGTGCCAGAGCCTAGTAGGAATGTGGTTGAGCCTTGCTGTAACCGTGTACAGTAGGCGTTAATCTCGCCACCTCATTTAACTGCTGAGGAAACTGAGGGCGTCCTTGTCAAAGGCTAAGTAGCTAATGAATTGCAGAAAGGGGCTTTACCACCCAGACCTGGCTGCTAGATCTTCTTTCTACTACATTTCTAATCTGTATTTCTTTGCAGAATGACATTACACATTTTTGTTACTGCAAAGTTTATGTGAGAGCAGTTGAGAACACACCTGATACGAGCACCTTGTTGATTGTTGCTTAGCATTTCCCCTGTGCTGGAGTTGGTTTTGCATCATTTTATTTTCGCAGTCCTAAAATACAAATAGACTAGGGCAGCGTGTTTAAAATAAAACATAACTGGCATTTAAAATGCAGAAGGGATCCCATATATTGCTGGTGAAATGCAAAATAATAACAGCCACTTTGGAAAACAGCCTGGAAGTAAACGTGGCCACAAAAAAACCTGTGCAACTTTGTTGTAGCTTTATTTGTAATCATAGAAAATTGGAAACAACCCAAATATCTATCAACTGGTCAATGGGTAAACAAAAGGTGGTATATCCATACAATGGAATACTACTCAACAGTAAAAACAGTTGAAGTACTGATACATGCAACAGTGTGGGTGAATCCCAAAAGCCTTATGCTAAGTGAAAGAAGCCAGGTGCAAAAGGCTGTATACTGTAGATTCCGTTTACATTTCACCTGGAAAGGGCAAAACTATAGAGATACCAGATTGGGGGTGAAGAAAGAGGATTGACTTCAAAGTGACACAAAGGAACTTCTTGGTTTGATGGAAATATTCCATATCTTCTTGATTGTGGTGGTTACAGAACTGTATGGTTAGTCAAAACTTAGAATTATATGCCTACACCTAAAAAGGGCAAGGTTTGTGTGTAAATTATACTTCAATAAAACTGAGTTGGGTTATGAAATGATGATGATGTTGGAAAAAACAGTTTGCCTATGTCAGGAGAAAAGGAGAGAGATATCCTGTAATCAACTCATCCCTTTTGTGGTCCAGTGGATTTTGGACAGTTGCAGTCAATGAACAGAGTAACTTTCACTGAGATTATTACAGATGTAAACCCCGATGTCTCGTATCATCCAAGATCAAGTTATATGAAATTTACATTACATGAATAGACTTTAAAAGTCAGTTAAGCAGGGCCAGCCCGGTGGCGCACTGGAGAGTGCGCTGCTTGGGAGCGCAGCTGCGCTTCCGCTGAGGGTTCGGATCCCATGTGGAAACCGGTTCACGCTCACTGGCTGAGCGCGGTGCCGGCGCAACACAGAGGGTTGCCATCCCGTTGCGATCCCGTGCGCTTCCGCTGAGGGTTCGGATCCCATGTGGAAACCGGTTCCCGCTCACTGGCTGAGCGCGGTGCCGGCGCAACACAGAGGGTTGCCATCCCGTTGCGATCCCGTTACCGGTCAGTAAAAAAGACAAAAAGGAAAAAAAAAAAAAAAGTCAAGCAAGTGAACATTTCAGTGACATAGGATCTTGTTTATGTGTAAAAGAATAATTCTGTCAGAACTTTTAAAATTTTAACATTTCTTGCATCATTATAGCCACAAAATGAATATATTGAATTACACCGTAAACGCTATGGATATCGTTTGGATTACCATGAGAAAAAGAGAAAGAAGGAAAGTCGAGAGGCTCATGAACGTTCAAAGAAGGCAAAAAAGATGATTGGTCTGAAGGCTAAGCTCTACCATAAACAGCGCCATGCTGAGAAAATACAAATGAAAAAGACGTAAGTGATCCCATTTATTTACTGTAAGTTAACATCCTTTGGGTAATAGCTATTAAAACAAATAACGTTGAGTCTTCTTCCTTCTTGGCAGTATCAAGATGCATGAAAAGAGAAATACCAAACAAAAGAATGATGAAAAGACTCCACAGGGAGCAGTACCTGCCTATCTGCTAGACAGAGAGGGACAGTCCCGAGCTAAAGTTCTTTCTAATATGATTAAACAAAAACGAAAAGAGAAAGCGGTAAGCAATAACAATTGAAGTCTTTATTTCTTTTTTGTTCAAGAGAATTATTTAAATTCAGATTTGAGTTTCTTTGTTTGTTCAGTTTAATTTGAAACATAACATTTAACTATTATCATTATTTAGATGTTAAAGTCTTTTTAAGTTTAATTTGATAATAAACTCGGTTTCTTGTCATCAGAGTTTAAGTTTTTAAAAATTTATTAGAATGCCATATCTTTAGTTTTAAGAAATTAACTAAAAACAAAAACTGAGTAAACAGGGAAACTCAACTTCAGTATTTAATGGCTTTCTGTATCTGAAAACTCCTACTAATGCTGTGCTGTTGAGGAGAAAAATGCAACTGCTTTTTGGTTTTGCTGCCCTATAGTGTCAAATTGGTTAAAAAGTAGAATACTGGAAAACTCCATAAGTGATTTGACTTAAATGAAAATTCAGCAGTTTTTTGTTTTTGGGGTTTTTTTAAGCAATGAAAGAAACTTTAGAGGTTATCTACTTAATACCCCTCCTCCCTCATTTTACAGATGGAGTACAAAAGATTGTAAATCATTCTTCATGGTGACATAACTATGAAATGGTAGAGTTGCTCCTAGAGCACGTTTTAGTAATAAGTCCAGAATTCTTTCTACTGTTTTACACTGCTTAAGTATTTTCATAGAATTTGCAGAACATCTGGTGAGGGCTCTGTATTGCTAGTAATCTAAAAATCCATTTGAGGTAGAAATATAAAGATACATTAAGAGGTGGAGACAGTCTTCCAATTTCATGCTCTTAACTAGTAGTAGGCACATAAACTGCTTATAGAAGTCACTGCCTTATTACAGGTGGTACTTTTTGCCCATAACAAGGCTTTAAGATTTTTAGCTTAAGCAAACCATTCATTTAATGTACCCATGATGTGTAAACTTGTTTAATTCCTGCTTAATTGGCAGCTTATAAGGACCTCTAAAAACCAAGCAGACCTCTAAAAAACAGTTGAGCCAAACGTGTTGAATAGCTAAGGAAAAAAGTGGATCTACTTCTTTGTATAACTAAAACATATTTGACTTATTCTTATTGTCATTTAAATGGTGGTCTGTTCTTAGGGAAAATGGGAAGTCCCTTTGCCCAAAGTTCGTGCCCAGGGAGAAACAGAAGTATTAAAAGTTATTCGAACAGGAAAGAGAAAGAAGAAGGCATGGAAAAGGATGGTTACTAAAGTCTGCTTTGTTGGAGATGGCTTTACAAGAAAACCACCTAAATATGAAAGATTCATTAGGCCAATGGTAAGTCTTTTGCAGGAGTGCAGTGACTTAAATATTATTTCTTGTTAAACTGGTTAACATACGTTATAATTTCCTGAAATTCTTAAAATTGATATGAAAAATAGGTTGAAAGATGTTTTTATGCTATTATTGTTACTTTAAGTTATTGATAGGGATTATTTGGCATTTTTTCCACTACAGTCAAGAATCTTCTCTTCAGCTTCATAAGAGATTTGAAATGAAAAAGAATTTTTGTAACAGATGTCAGTGAATTCTTTTAAACATGACATATTTGAATCTTCACTTTCCACACAGTCGTATTTTACTCATTCAACAAGTGATCTACTGTATGCGTGACGCTGTGCTAGGCCTCAAACACTTGTCTTTGAGAATATTAGAAAACTTGAGTAGGACTATTTTGTCAAGTCAATTCTGGTTTAGTAAGGTAAATATTTTAATGCTTACGAAAACATTCAGTATGCAATCATTGAAAAAAGAAAAGGAACTTAATATAAAAGTAGCTTAATTTCTGTTGACAACAGTGATAGTAATAGTAGGATAGGCCCCCAATCCTACCCCCCGCCCCCTGCACTTGGGGAAAAAATGAATATTATTGAAGATATATTTTTGGGAAGAATACCTTTTGTAGAAAAAGTAGTTATGAATGCAATTCTTTTTTAATTTAGCTTACTGGCTTCAGGTTACATAAAATGTACTGCATTTATTTTAATGCTTTTTACTAAAAATCATTTATTAGATGCAAAGTTATAACTAAAAAATACTGGAAGAAAATACAGTAACTGGGAGCAGGGGAAAGGAGGTATACATCAAACATATAACCACACTACAGGTATTTCAGTGATAATTAAAACTGAAATATGTCATGCAGCAATTTTAAATTCTTTTTTCATTTGCTGCTTTTAGTGCCCAGATTTCTCTAAAGGTTGATGTTCTTTGAAAGCGGAGAATACACTCTTAACTTCTTGAGTCACTGGCTCATAGTTCATGTTGGCTGACCTCAGTTTTAAAATGTGGTTAAAATTGATTTGAAACCTATTTAAAACCTGATGCATTTTTCAGTCAGAATTATGTGGAAAAGTAGCAGTGCTCAGGTCAATCCACAAAGGCCTGTTAATAACAATATACTATGGGTAATAGAATAGAGCTGACATTTGTAAAACCTCTATTTTTATAAAAATTGTATTCAGAAGTCAAGCTTGGTCTTGAATGATTCAAGTTTGTAAAATCTCATCCTCTGTAGTGCATTTCTTATTTCTTAAAAGTGGTAATTAGAAATATTTTAGGCAAAAGTTATGTTCTTTAAAATTGTTATTAGCTAACATCCCTCCCTTTTCCTTTTTTTTTGGTTTGGTTTTGTTTTCTTTTAGGAAAATATGCCCAGGTTACCAACAATCCTGAAAACGATGGGTGCATAAATGCAGTCTTACTGGTTTGACAGCAGTTTTGTACAAGTAACTCCTTATAATGATCAAAGACTACACACCAGTTGGGAAAACCATCCTTACTGTGATGTTTCTGAATGCTACCAAACAAGCTGTACCTGTCTGCAGTCATCGAGAGAGAACTATTTATTACATTGTAAAAAATAAAATGGCCCAGTTTAACAAAGTGGTCTTTATTTTGGGGGTCTACTTATTTAAATGTTCATAAAATTGAACTGAAAAAGCAAATACTGTGTACACATATCCTTCATCAGTATCTGCATTAATGAGTGGGTAATCAGCGATGCATCTGTAATTACTAGAAAAACCAGTGTAAACACTTTTCATAAAGGTTAACACACACACAATTATGGGGCCTAGGCTAGGAGACCTTACCTGAAGGTTCTTCCACCTTGTTTTTAATTAATTTTAAAAATGTTGCAGTACACATGATAATGTTTAAGTTTATAAAGTATGAGAAGGTATACACTACACTCAAAGTTCAGAACTCTTATTAGATAAATCTCACCTGTGATTAATCCTTAACTTCTTTGTACAGTAAGTCAGAATTATTCTAAACATTTTTTTCCCTCTCATTCAAACATAACACCTACTTGGAACTATATTTTCTACTTGAAACATGAAAAAGATGAAAAGTACATTGAAATGTTCTACTTCCTTTAGCATCTTCTATATTCTAAACTTAGGGTAGTATATTTATACTTTCAGAACATTAAAAATTGGTTTAAGTAATTCCAGCTTAGTTTTAAAAGGGAAAAGACTACACTGATGCCTTGAGAAATTTTCAGTTACTTGGTTGTAACTTGATGAAAGCACTTTTGTGATCTGAATTATATGTTTACGGCTTTGAGCTTCAGGGTTTCTGTATATTACATTAATCTGTAATCATCACATTTTTTTTAAATTGTGTTTATTGTTTTAAAGTCTGTCTGCAAAGTACAACAAATGTGATTAATTGTGCCTTTAATGAAATCAAATGTCTAAACAAATTCAATATCTAAACACATCTTCATAAACAAAATTGGGGAAAAGAGAAGGAAAAGAATTTCAAAACAGATCAGATCAGGAAAGAATCACAAAATATAGGTTTAATTACTACTTTTCAACTTAAAAAAAAAAACTATCAAGAAAACAAACATACTCCAGTAAGACTTGCTAGTCTGAGTGATGTAGCATTTTTTTCTAAGCTTTACAATCATAGAGGTTTTAGAACACAGACATTTAAGGGAAATAAAGCTAGTTCCTTGGAAATGACAGTCCAACATGATACAATCACTTGATGACAGAAGCTGAACCTTTCTTACAATTAGATTTTAACAAATGATTTTGCCACTAATAGAAATCGGTAATATGTGAATAACAAGTTCTGGAAGGTGAAAGAAAACAATTGATACTAAAGAAATGAAGTCTGCTTATTTTTTAGAACCAAAAATAAAGCAAATTACTATCTTGGAAGGTACAAAAGAAAGCTTGATTATAAAGTATGAAAACAAGCATAACATTTGTAACTAATCACACCCATGAAAGACTAGATCACACCTGAAACACCATATTACTACTAGACATACAAGGCAGAAATTTGTCTCTAAAATACTGTTAGATGAGTAGTGTTAGTATAAATTCTTTATTTACATTAAGATCTGTCTCAGTTTGCTGGTGTGACCAAACCTTAGAAGGTAATCCCAAAGGGTAAAGCAGAATGTAAGAGCAGGTATTTAGATATTAGGTAAAGATTCAATTTGATGCAATCATAAGCCTTCAAGATGTTTTTCTAAAGTCACTGAAACCATTTTAGATAGTGTTCTAGTTGTCTGCTAAAAGTAAATCAGATAACTAGATGTTATCCTTACCATCTCTGCACTGAATAGAAACACCATGAATAGACACGTTTTAAGTAGACTGACATTCTAAGTCATGCTGTTTGATTTTATAAAAAAATCATAATAGAACCTCTCACCTTTAAAAGTTGTAGAGGAGCTTTATAATAAATTCTTAAATATACTAATTTCTGTGATGTCTAGCAATTGAATAATTTAAACTGGAAAGTAGAACTAAAATTTTGCTAATAACGGTTTGCTTTATATTACACAAGGAAATATATACGTATGTACACAAAAAGTGAACTCCCTTCTCCAGAAACAGAAAAAAAGCAGTTCACAAAGGACTATATAGAATGTGACTGGACACTCAACAACTGGACTAGTGGGTTAAAATCACATTTCAGTCCTCTAATTCTGAAAGGTTTTCTAATGCCTTGTACAAACTATATGTATTTGATTAAGTTTTAGATTCCTTATTGAGGATAAGTTTTGTTATAAATTCTCTCAATTCCCAAACATTAAGTTTTTTTTCCATGTGACCTAACGCTTTCCCTCTATAACCTACAAACCCCCAAATAACATTTTCTTTCAGAGATAATATGTAACAAGTTTTCTTGTGTGCTAAACAAAATGTTTTGAAATTACTTAAAATTTACTTACGGTTTGAACCAAACAAGTTTAACAAGCATAAGTTTATACTGTTAAGTTCCCAGTAATCATATATGAATAACTAAACATGTCTTTTTTGTAAACTCAGTGACTATATTCACACATCAACAGTTGTCAGTGAGCTCAATCTTCTTTAAACAAGACCTATTAAAAGGAAATATTTTAAAGAGAACAATGAACAATTCAAGTAAAAAAGTAAAATACCTAAAAGTATTATTGTTTTTAAATCTATTTAAGAAATGAAAAATGGAAAAGTTAAGAATTTACTGAATATGAACAGAACTTCAGTCATTTCCCTAATTGTGATATTAACAAGTTTCTCATAAAATATATAAAACAGCATTAATGTCTGATAGATTCACTAGTATTAGCCATACTTATTCTTTCATTTAATTAGCATTTGTTGAGAAAACAAATGGCCAAAGTGCCTTAATTTTCATTTAGAATGAAATAATGTGGCTTACTTCTGACCAATAATTAAACAAAATGTAGGGGCATACATATGTTCAAAATCTTACATTTTCTCAAAATTTCCTAGGCAAAGGCCTTTGTCATGGCAACAATATGTACACATAACTGGCTAGTTTCCAACAAAACAAATCAATAGTGAGCAAGACCAAAGGGACAACTGAAGCCTCCCATTTGATTTAAGCTCTTGTAACTACAGCTCCTAGGGCAGTTCTACTCCTGCCGTCTAGGTCTAAGATTGTGGGGCACAGTTCCAAACTTACCCAAAAATGGATGCCAAGGGCATAACCTGGCAAGCAGTCAAGCCGGGGGAAATCACTCTGTGAGTTAGAGAAGTGGATGAAAGCTAGGAGAACACGAATGACTCTAGAATTAGGGCAGTGGCAGGATTAAGGAGAAGCCCTAGAAAAAAAAGGTCCTCACACTTGAAGTGTAGATGTTAACTGGATGGAGACAAAAGTACAGTCTCCAGCTTAATTTATCTATCTCTGATCAGGACCAGAGAGTCCAAGTTAAATTATATCCCTAAATTATATTAATTGGGATGTTTACATGATTAAAGGTAAGAGTGTACTCTTTAAGCTTGTAAGCATCTGCAAATATGCAGAAATTTTAAAACTCATAGCAAACGAATACTTCAAATGAAATTTTAAATAATTAGTACCCACACGCCACAGTTAATCCCTAGCAGTACTGTTAATATCAGATGATACAGATTGAGTAGGAAATAGATTTTGTGTGACTTTTCAGAGAAGTTGAAGTCAAAGGAAGAAACTGCACGAATACTTCAAATGAAATTTTAAATAATTAGTACCCACACGCCACAGTTAATCCCTAGCAGTACTGTTAATATCAGATGATACAGACTGAGTAGGAAATAGATTTTGTGTGACTTTTCAGAGAAGTTGAAGTCAAAGGAAGAAACTGCATCTACAACAAGGATTCAGAGGCCAAAACCAAAATATCATCTTCATAAACCTTTGACCATACATTTCTGTTCTTGTGCTCTCATTTATAGAAGTTATATTTATTCTAATTTATTGACACATTTTTGTTTAGGCATGCCCACATTTTTAAAAATGGTGATTAGTTTTGATATTTAAGATAAAACTTCTGGAGCCCTCACCAAGTTTTACTATTAAAATCCTTAGTATAAAAAGATTTCTGTGATCCTTACAAGTAATGGAAAGCCTACTACTTTCACAGTTTTTTAATTTATATTTTTTGAAATATTAATGGTCTGATGTTTCACCGGCTAAAGATATGATCTGGTTTCCCAAAATTGAAACATGGTTAATAAAAATTAAAAATTGCATTTACAAAAAATAGCCTGAAAAATTAAAAAGAATGGTGAATCCTAGGTCCTAAAGGGAAGAGAAAACTGCATAGTAAATAAGTTCAAATTAAAATTTTGGAAATTTTTTTTTCCTGTGCCCCATGCTATTTATTAACTGCCATATTTTAAAAACAATACTTATGTTACAAAGAAGAGGATTTATCATCTGCATTTCTTCTTCATTCAGGTCAGCTTGGCCTTCTTCTTAGCAGGTCCTTTATGCCCTTTGGCCTTTCTTCTTAAATTCCGCCTGTCTACCACCGGCACTTCCACTTCTATTTCCTCTGAGCTGCTATCCACAGCTTTTTCTGCTGATGGTGTAAACTGATCCAGTTGCTCAGAAGATGCTTCAGACTGCTCCTCTGACTGGTTCTTCTGTCCCACACTCTGTGAAAATGGCACATCTTCAAGTTCAACCTCTATCAAAGAACTCTGTGAAAGGGCAGTGGATGTTTCCTGGGTCTCAGGTACCCCCTCCTCACCCTGGTCTTCCAAAGAGGAAGTAGTGTTGGGTGATAAATTCTCAGAGACTGGTTCTTCAGAAAATTCAGCTATCCCAGAGTTTGGAAAACCACTGTCAGACCGTTCTTCATTTGAGATAGTAGCAACATTGTCTGAACCTCCAAAATGTGCTTTCTTTCTTGAAACCAGAGACAGTTTCTCATCAGTGTGCCCCTTTTCATCAGAAGGGCCTTCATCTATCAACATTTCTGAGTCGGTTATATGTGGAGTCTGAAAATAAAAGACCCGGTCAACAAATAAACTTCTGCAATACAGTTGTAAAATAAATTCTTCTCAGACACTAATATGCAATGGCGCTGAACTACAATTTTAAAGAATTTGGAACTCATTACTTTTGTTAATCATGTGTACAGA